TAGAATCAGGAGAAAGGCTGCAAGCCACCCTTCCCAGAATTCACAGCGCTGCTTCTCGCCAATCGCAGGCGTAGATCTTGAAAGATGGGCGGGGAGGTGGAGGAGCTACGCGGCGCACGCGCACTATGTGAGGCTGGGGAATTCATGTGGAGGTCAGAGTGGAAGCAGGTGAGAATGGTGGGAGGTAGCTGAGGCCTGTGTCTGAGCGTCTCTGCAGCCCTCTTCCGCCCTTCCGTGTGCCCTCTGGACTAGTCGGGTGCGTGCATGAGCCTGTCTTGTAGGGGAAGGAGAAAAGGCCGAGCCTAGGACGAGCCAAGAGTTGCGCAGAATAAGGGAGGCATGTATGGGGGCAGGGTGAGGAATAATCTAGAAGCTATTACAAATGGAAAGGGCTGAGTGCCCTGGCCTCAGAGAAGGGGGTTTTAAATGCACGGAGAGAGATCAAGGGATTTCTAGGAGATGAGGTCTGGGAAGGAGGAAGGGAGAATCTGAGTCTATAGCGAACAACCACGTTGGGGTGGGATACTAAAAAGTTACCTTCTGGGGTGTTTTCTTGTTAGGTTAGCTGTGTTCCCACCCACTCCACCTCAGCCCCACCCTCTCAGTTCTTCCAGAGCCCTTCCTCCCTTGCAGCTATTTAGAACCTTTCTGCCAAGTTTGATTCCTCAGTTATCTTGGTCCGAGAATGTCATCCAGTTCCTGCTTTCCTGATAACAAGTCATTCTAAATACATGATGTTGAGACCAGAATGGCGAGGATTAAGCTGTACCTCCTAGAATTAGACCTCTGGATTCTGCTTATGGTTCTGTCACTTAATAACTGTAATTTTAGCTTCCCATGTAACCTCTACGTGTGCTTCAGTTTCCTCATCTGTAGTGATCTACTTCATTGGGCAATTTTAAGGAGTAAATAAATCCCTATTGGAAGACTGCTTGGTATAAATGTTAGATGATCCTGTTGTTTTTGTTGTTGGCATCACCGTGTAGCATGTTCTTTGCATTCTTTTTCCAAACCAAAATTACACACAGCCAACCACACAACCTCTTTCTTAGGGCCTGCTTGTCTAGAAAATAAGAGGGTGGGTTAGTATGGTGTTAAGTGATCTCTCTGGATATCAAGCCCATGTCTTGTTTCCCTTATTGAACAAGTGTCCCAGGCCCCTTTCTTTAAGTGGTTAAGAAAAAAAAAGTGAAAAAGAAAAAAGCTGAAGAATTGATACATTTTCCAATGGAGTCGAGTGTTATTTATAGATATCTTTCAGTGGATGATTTTAAGAGCTTTCAGGAGCAGGGAAATAAATAATGAGCTTGATAAGTGAATGTTGTGCCTTTGAGCTTTCTCTGAGGATTTGGAGTTCAATTGTTTTAATTTTTTTGTTTTGTTTTCACCCTATTAGGTGTGAGTGGGTCCAACAGAAGGAAACATGGCTGCCAAAGTATTTGAGTCCATCGGCAAGTTCGGCCTGGCCTTAGCCGTTGCAGGAGGCGTGGTGAACTCTGCTTTGTATAATGGTGAGGAACTCGGGTAGGGGGTGTCCCTGCCCTATGCAGGAAGATTTCCCTTGTTCCACAAAGCCAGTGCAAGGCTCCTGATAGTAGCTGCTGTCTGTGAATGTGTTTGTGGCCTGCAGGGCTCACCTGTTGCTGTCCTGCACTATATAATTGGATTGTTATCAGGGCCCCCATCCTTTTAGCCATAGATTCTCTCAGAGCTTTTACTCAGAAAGAGCCTCCCACCCCAGTTCCTAGTTGGGTGTTTCTAGCTGCTCTGGTCAGGTAAAGCAATTCTGCACCACTACATGTGGCAGATCATCAGGATTTCATCAGCTAGCTGAGATGGACGCCTCATTTGTTCTCTCTGCTTGTATGTGGAGTAACTCAGCAAAGGCTTTAGACCTGTTGGAGTGATCTGGTTTCTGAGCAGGAGCTTTTGCTGTGCTGAAGTTGGGTGGTTTCAGAGAAGATATCTTTGAGAGATGTTCCTCAGCTTTTAACAATGTATCAGGGGGTTAAGCTGGTTTTTCTTCCACTTTACTATATGATCTTAGGCAAGCTTCTTCCCCATCTTTAGGCCTCAGCTGCTTTGTTGGAAAAGCAATGAGATAGAGCCAGTTTTTTTTATTTATTTTTGTAGTTTTGTTGGGTTTTTTTGGAGACAGAGTCTCATTCTGTCACCCTTGGTAGAGTGCTATGCCATCATAGCTCACAGCAACCTCAAACTCTTGGGCTCAAGCAATTCTATTATCTCAGCTTCCCAAGTAGCTGGGATTACAGGCACCGGCCACAATGCCCAGCTGTTTTTTTGTTATAGTTGTCATTGTTGTTTTTAGCAGGCCCGGGCCAGGTTCGAACCTGCCAGCCCTGGTGTATGTGGCTGGTGCCCCAACCACTGAGCTACAGGTGCCAAGCCCCTAGTTTATTTCTTAAGACACCCTCCAACGCTAATATTCTATAACTTTTTACTGCCCCAGAGCAGCAGCGGATAGACCTAGCTAGTGTGTGACTGTCCTGACAGGAGGAGGATTGTTTTCAGAGTGAAGATGTTTGGACTAACAGTAAAGCCCAGAGAGGCAGCTGATTAGAGAAGCCTGCTTGACTTTTATGATCATTTTGTGTTCCTTTTGGCCACGCCTGCAGAACTCGACAATAATTGCCATTACTAAATTTCTCTCTGAATCAACAAGACAGCTGTGCAACTTGTGAAAATTTTAGAGAGACCAAGCTCTTAGGAAGAAAGTGGGAACTTCTAAATGTTAGGATTCCCATAGTGAGGGTACTGCTTCTTGCCCCACTGGGTTAAATTGGAGCCAGGAGGGACCTGTGGTAACAGTGAAGACGTTGATCAGTTTTAAAAGCTTTGGTAAGATGATTGCTGGAAATGCATTGATAGGAATTTGGAGATGGTGGTGGTTGGTCAGAAGATTAATAGCAGTTCTTTCAAGAAGAAAGGACACTAAGGAACAGATACTATTACTGAAGTCCTTGGAGAGACCAATGAGATAGAAAGTGATTGCTTAGTTTTATAGCTATTTAGAAGTTTCTTGGCTGGGCAGGGTGACTCACGCCTGTAATCCTGGCACTCGAGGAGGTCAAGGCAGTCAGATTGCATGAGTTCAAGAGTTGTAGACCAGCCTGAGCAAGAGTGAAGCTAGGCGTTGTGGTGGGCACCTGTAGTCCCAACTACTTGGGAGGTTGAGGCAAGAAGATTGCTCAAGTCCTAGAGTTTGAGGTTGCTGTGAGCTACAGTGATGCCATGGCATTCTACCCAGGGCAACAGAGTGAGACTGTCTTAAAAAAAGAGGAGGGCGGCACCTGTGGCTCAAAGGAGTAGGGCGCCGGCCCCATATGCCAGAGGTGTTGGGTTCAAACCCAGCTCCGGCCAAAAACTGCAACAAAGAAAAGTTTCTTGAGATCAGAACTTTGGGAACACAGAGCAGGAAAGAGGAGGCTTAAGTGAACAGAAAGCACCGGGGCTCTTTCAAAGACATAATCATTTTTGGATAAAGGGTGAGGGAAGTTTTCTGATCTGTCATCTTTCCTTCTTAGTGGATGCTGGACACAGAGCTGTCATCTTTGACCGATTCCGTGGAGTGCAGGACATTGTGGTAGGGGAAGGGACTCACTTCCTCATCCCATGGGTACAGAAACCAATTATCTTTGACTGCCGCTCTCGACCACGTAACGTGCCAGTCATCACTGGTAGCAAAGGTGAGTCTTTCCTGTGGGTCAGGTAAAGTAGGGAGTATGGAAGGGGTCTCTGCTCTTTTATTAGATCCAGAAGTGCCTTTGGACACCAGAATCCAGAAGAGATTGGATTGTACATCATAAGAATTGCTAGCAGGCCAGGGCAGCCTGGAGAGCTTTATACAGATTCTTAGAAATAAATACTACTTGATGTACACAGATAGCAGGACAAATTTAGAGAACTATGCCTCTTAAGGTGTGTCTTAAGAGTTACATAATCTTATTTTTAAAAATCTAAATGTGCCTTTTGCTCCCTCAGTTAACCCTTCCCATTAGCTATTGTTCCCCAGCATGACTATGTAAACCAGTCTCCTGTCTGCCTTCATAGCTGATTTAACCTTTGCCTTGCTTTCTACAGCCTGTGACCGAGCAGTGTGAACCTCACATTGTCATCTCACAGGTTAAGGCTCACAGCCCTGAGAGCAGCCCTGGCATCTGTGATGCCCCACTGGTTTGCTAGTCAGAGGCAGAAATGATTGGCCATCACCGTATCCCCCATCTAGACAGTAAACAGAATAGCAGGTGTGGTCCAGGAGTGACATTTCTACACATAGAAGCGGGCCATGGATATTGGTTTATTATCTTGATAGCACTCGATGCCTTCAGGGCTGTTCCTCAGCAACTGTTTCTTCATCACAATTGTGCTAAGCCTTGTGCTGAGTTGGAGGGTGAGGGTAGCTCAAAGGTGATTAAAACAGGAGCCTTTAAGGAGCTCTGTCTAGCTAGGAAGATAGAGGCGTGAATAAGCAATTCCAGTAGAATGTGAGGGGTACCAGAGTCAAGGTCATATGGAGTGCTGGAGGATCACAGAGCAGCTAACTCCATGGGCACTAGAAAGGCTCCCGTGAGAAAACACTTGAGTGAGAGTGTGACTTGGGCAGGAAGAGAGGGAAAAGTGAACTTGGCAAATCTGTTCTGTGCCTCCTGGTCAGGGAGAAACAGCAGCCTCCTGTAAATGGTCTGGCTTGCCTACCCCAAGGAAGTAGAATAATGGAGAAACGTAAATTTAACTTAAAAGCCTACTTCTGAACTTCCCACCTTTTTTTTTCTGTGCTATTTTGTAATTGTTCTGAGAATACATGGTGTGCTTATTTCTAAAACTATTGATAGGCTCTTCCAAAAATCAGACACTTCTATGTATGACTACATTTCCCACCCCTCTTGGTGCCTGGTTTAGGACACTGTCTCATGGGCAGTTGGTTCATCTTGATGACTGGAAGCAAGCTGTGACAATGCTGTAGCTCTGAGTAGGCCTGAAGTGTTCAGGGGAACATAGGTATAAGAGTCCCTGGGTCCTTTGACTGGGCTGAGTAATGAGAAGCAGACCACAGATGAGTCTGATCACCTCTTAGGTCCGTTACACATCTAGCAGTGCTTTCCTCTCTTTTCTGCCTCACTTCCCCTGAAGATTCCTGCAAGGCAGATGAAGTCATCCTCATTCTCATAGACAAAATAAGCTTGGGTTGGTGAAGGCTTAGTGAGGCCACGTTGTTAATAAACAGCAGGGTGGAATTATAGCCCAGGTAGGACTACTAGTCTAGCACTATGTCCACCAGACCCAGAACCTCCCCAAGGCTGACTCCTGGCTTGGAGCAGATTCACAGGCCTTAGAAAGGCCCCACTCTAGAATTTTTGGCATTGACCCATCTGTGGCCTTACAAATGTTCAGAAATTCCTGGCCAGACACAGTGGCTCACTCCTATAGTCCTAGCACTTTGGAAGGTCAAGGTGGGAGGATTGAGATCAGGAGTCAAGACCAGCTAAGTAACATCTTGTCTCTACAAACACTCCCCCACCAAAAAAAAATTAGCCAGGTGCAATGGGCTATACCTGTGGTCCCAGTTACTGGGGTGTCTGAGGCAGGATCGCTTGAGCCCAGGAATTTGAGGTTGCAGTGAGCTTTGTTCAAGTCATACTCTAGCCCAGGCAACAGAGGGATACCCTGTCTCAGAAAAATAAAAAAAGGGCCAACCACAGTGGCTCAAGCCTGTAATCCCAGCACTCTGGCAGGCCGAGGCCGGTGGATTGGCTGAGCTCAGGAGTTCGAGACCAGCCTGAGCGAGAGACCCCATCTCTAAAAAATAGCCAGGTATTGTGGGTACCTATATATATTCCCAGCTACTTGGGAGGCTGACGCAAGAGGATCATTTGAGCCCAAGAGTTTGAAGTTGCTGTGAGCTATGATGTTACGGCACTCTACCCCAGGGTGGGGTCGGGGGGGGACAAAGTGAGACTGTCTCAAAAAAATACAGAAAAAGAAAAAGCGAACTTCCTACCTCTGTGTGCTGTTCTGCTAGGTTCTTTGCTAAGAAGTCTAGGCATACCCACTCCTTGCCCTCTAGGCTCTTAAAATCAGCAAATTTGCTTTTAACTCCAATATTTCTACCTTCCCCAAAGATTTACAGAATGTCAACATCACGCTGCGAATCCTCTTCCGGCCTGTGGCCAGCCAGCTTCCTCGGATCTTCACCAGCATTGGAGAGGACTATGATGAGCGTGTGCTGCCATCTATTACTACAGAGATCCTCAAGTCGGTGGTGGTGAGTGAACAGAGGCCCTTGGCCTTGAGCACAGAGCACGCATGGCCCCAAGCAGTTGTTGGATGGCAGGAAGAGCTTGGCAGTAGGTTGGTTGGAATGTGGCTGTTAGTTTCCTGGTTCCTTTTCTGTGTCCTCATTAACCTCACCCACTCTTCCGCCCTACCCTTTGAAACCAGGCTCGCTTTGATGCTGGAGAGCTAATCACCCAGAGAGAGCTCGTCTCCAGGCAGGTGAGCGATGACCTTACGGAGCGAGCAGCAACCTTTGGGCTCATCCTGGATGATGTTTCCTTGGTAAGATGCTTTGAGAACCTGAGGGGAAGGGGTGCAGTTCTTACATAGGTGTCTGCCTTCATTTCTGGGTAGACACTATTAGAGTCTGCCTTCCACTTGCTTACTGTGAGACTTGAAAGCATGAAACTTGTTGACAGTACAGAGCAGTTTCCTAGGGTTGGTTTTTGTAGTGGATTCTTTTACCTGCCCTCTGCCACACACATTTTTCTTATGACTTCTGGTCATACCCAGATGCTCCCTAACAATTAAAGGGGTTTTTTTTTTGTTGTTTGTTTTTATACCTTCTCCAAATTGTGAATATACCCCAAAGTTCCCCCAGAAAGTGATATCTTGTTAACCCTATTTGACACAGGGAAAAACTGCCTGGGGAAGACCAGAGAACAGCTCAGGTAGTCTTTCTCCCAGCACAGGCCTCCCAGCCTAACGCCTGGGAGTTTCTTAACATTTGAGGTCTGAAGTTCAGCGAAGTGAGTTCTGGGAACCCCCAATGAAAGGTGATAGAGTGTAAATGAATGGTTATATTCCCTGAGGCCTGGTAGAGGGGGCAAGGGACATCTCTGAGGCGTAAGCTGTCCCCTTGAGACCTTGTAGTTTGTGTGTTTATATGACGTTGAATGTCATAACTCAGACAGGCAGGGTAGCATTTCAGGTTGAGGAGGGTGAGGGGAAGGGGTCGTGTTTCTGGATTCTCTGGGAAAAATCATTTGGAGTGATTTGTTCGGGTAGTGAGGTAAAGTGTTTCCTGTTCAGCTCTCCTGTGCATCACTAGGGAAAGGTCCCACTTCCCCCTCAGCATCTGTGCAGCTGTTTAAACAGTCACACTCTGTCACCCAGTGCTAACCCGGAGGGCACTGCTCCCTCACTGCAGTTGCTTAAGTCCGAGGGACTTTGGGCTCCCTCTGCTGGCCAGATGCCAAGCTGCAGCCCTTTGGCTTCTCTGGTAGGCGCCTCTCCTCTGGCTCTCTCCACTCTCTATTAACCTGAGCGCCTTGGCTGTAAGAAAACACTAAGTAAACACCCAAGAAAAAACCTGGCATTTTACTAGACTTTAACCACATGCGCCATTCTGGGGAAATGTGGGCTGGCCACAAGAAACCATATCTAAGAGGTGTGCTGAGAAAATTAGATTTCATGGGGAATTTGCTGCCCTTGGCTGGCCCTTTTAGAAAGAAATTTTAGTCCTTAATTATACATTTCATTTTTCATTTCTCAGGATCATGTTTTCTTACCCACAATTTGAACAGGAGTCCAGAAATGGATCAGGCAAAGTAAAATACCTGCAGTTTAAGAGTTAGGCGTGTTAAAAATTCTGGAAGGTAGTAGGACCAGGATTTACTCATGAGGAGAAATTTAAGACTGCTTATATATTTAAAAAAGCAGAGATTGAAAGGGTAGAGGAAGAAGTAGAACCAACAGAATTGGATGGCAAAACCAATGTTCTTCTTTATTTCTTCTTTAATAAAAAGTTAGTTGAGTGGCTGGGTGCAGTGGCTCATGCCTATAATCTTAGCACTCTGGGAGGCTGAGGTGGGTGGATTGCAAGAAAGAAAGAAAAAAGAAAAACTAGCTACTAGCTGGGTCTAGTGGCATACCTATAGTCCTAGCTACTCGAGAGGATGAGGCAAGAGGATTGCTCAGATCCAAGAGTTGGAGGTTGCTGTGAGCTGTGATGTCATAGCACTCTATCCAGGGCTACAGAGTGAGACTCTGTCTTAAAAAAATGTTGGATGAATAAGTAAATTGCTCTAGGCTATGTGATGGGCGTTCTGAGATCTGTTCCCATTGTTTGCACTATCTTTAGAGATACTCTTCAGCCAAGTCTCATTTATGGGATTAGGGAAGGTCTATGGATATTCAGACTTTTACACCCTCACCCTGACCAATGACTTTACCTGCCTTCTCTTTTAAACCCTTTGCCACACCACTCACACATCAGGAATACTATGTCTGCACTCCACCTTTTCTCATCCTCTTCCTGTTTAGTGGTAGAGCTGCTGGGGGAAGGAGCGGACTGGTTAATCCATAAGCAGAGAGGATCAGGCTCTTGAATCCCTGGGAACCAGCTGCATTCCCCACTCTCAGGGGCTCAGTTTTCCATCTGGCCTCTCTTGGGCCTTTGATGAGGGCAGCAAAGGACCTTGGAAGAGCACTAGTTAGTGGTGGGGGTCCTGGAACCTACAGGCCTCCTCCTCTGGGGAGAGGGTCAGCTGAGTAGATACTTCTGATGCCTATGGGCTCCATCAAAAGCCCTGAGTGCCATTTTCTACATGAAATCAGCACACTGAGCATGACAGAGTGGCATGCAAGAGCAATTTGGGCAGCCAAGGATTCTGAGGTGTAAACCCAGTTCGGACAAGGATAT